TGCTCACAAGAGAAGATAACTGCAATACGCAAAGACGGAATATGCCTTTTGCCAGGTGGGTGAATATCGATCGTAAATTAAGGGTTGTTGTTGATATTCTGTGTATTTTGATGTTTATATTGGGAATGGAGACACCGGACATATGTCTTAAGAATCAATTAACGATTATTTCAGGTACATTAGAGAATCCCGAGGTCTCGCATGCTCTAATGATCCCGCTGTTCCCTAGCATCATCACAAGACAAAGAATTTCCAAGTTTGATTATGATAGCGATATGTATTTCATTAGAGGAATTCTTTTTAAAAGTAGGATGACGCATATGTAAGTTTTTACTTTTGATTCTGAGAGCTTTTCATGATATGGCTTTTTGATTGTATTTGCATCCATGCTGCGCTATAATGATGTTTCACATTGCTACCGCGAACACATTGTTTTTGTGCTGAGAAAGCAAACATGAAATTTAAAAGGAAAAGCAAATTAGGCAAATCATTTCCTATACGGATAAACTGCTATAGTAAAAGTCGTCCAAAAGAAAAGTAAACTACAATCACATGGAAGGTTATTTTAAGCCCTGCATGGCATTGCTGTTGGTTCCATAGGCAATGTAACTGCTGATTGAACTTTAATCACCCACTCATCACATGCAGATGAACATTAAAGGATAGTGCTGTTGGGCGATGAACATGATAAATCAACACGCCATTACAGCGATTAAACAAAACGTTCAAATGTAACTAAATAATTGATGTTCAAGGAATATACGAATGAATAATCATAAGCACTTTTCTACATGCTTTTATGTGCTTTATTCAGATGACGATTCTGTAGTCCATATTAGTAAATATCCCTGTGTGACACTTGGATATTATTTTTTTGCAGAAACGTAAGCGACCCAATAGAATACAGTGACTATATATCGTTTTGACAAATCTGACTAATTTTTCATCTGGACTAACCCGTCACCGTTTTGGAACCGGATATAATTGTCGTCATCGGACGTTGCCTCCCGGAAACGGACACATGTGTATTTCTCCCATTCGCGCATGGCAACTCGAATCAGATATCTCTCCTTCGCCTCTGTAAAAATAAAGTAGAAATATATGTATGCAATATTTAAACATCTCAAACGTATATAGGAACTTGAGCACATTAAAGATGAGTTTTAAGAGGGCAGAAAGCTTAAACTAAATTAGAAACTTGTTGATCATGTACATTTACTTGAAATGGTCACAGCAGCAACTTAACTTCCGGTTAAGGAGATTTTCTCTCTGTGATAAAGCCATCAATTTCGCAAAATATATGAGTTAATCTATGTGATATTTTAATGCCAATTTTGTTGCTGTTAAAAACATCGTACCACTGAGGTCTATAGCGATGGAAATTCGACTTCCAACGTCAGGGCAACTTGTGTCAGATCTCTTAACAGGGTGTGTATGTATATATACATTGTACCTGTAGATATTGTTTATGTCGGCTCAGCCCTTTGCCAAATCATAATTTTCGGGAATAGGCCAATGCAATATATTTTTATGTGAAACAAAATTATAAAAACGAAAAAGAGGAGTTGAAGATTACTTTCAGGAGGTCACCACTGTCTTTGTTTAAACAAAATAATAATTTTAAATGCACGTACTGAAATGGCCCGGAGTCAGGTAGAACGGTACTTCTCCGTTCGGCCATCTTAAGTCTATTCGTCTCACTGCCTTTCGTTTCTTTCTCTTCTGTTCAAAATACGGCATCGTCTTGATATCTCCACTAAAAGACCAAAACATATAGAGAGTATTGATATTTGTTTATAAGAAACCGTCCCCTTATGCCTTACATATCAATAAGTCGTCTAATCACACATAGAAACCACCTCTAGCAAATACCAAAGTAAACCTCCGAAAACAAAAAATATATGTCATTTTTCGAAAGTAAACTTGTGAAATGAACATCTTTCCCGTCAATCTATTGCGGCATCCGTGAATAATTACAAATGAGAAATATGACTAAGGATTTCATCCAAGAGTTTGGGTTTACCTTGAAAATATGGTAGATTATTAACAGCATGATTTGATTCAACATAAACATATTTTCGCTGCAATGTTAAGTACAGTAATGATGTTTTCATTCCTTTTTTTTTTGGACAGCATACACATTGCATTGGCTATGCGAACTACAGCGATGGTATACCTTACAATGCACAAAGATAAGACGGGGAAGTAATACTAGGATTTGGCCTCACTATTCTGGCGGATGATACATATTACGAAACTGTTCTTCCGTCAGCAGCATGTCTAACTCAGCCAGGAACATGCCATTTGGTCCAACCATCTTCTGAATCGATACTGTTAGAAGGCGTAAAAGATATGACATGAAGTTTAGATTACATCATATTTGGGGCCACTAACTCTGTAAAGACAAGTGCCGAAAAATACATTTGATTATGAATTAGAATATTTATATGCAATTCCTTTGAAAAGGTGATGTGGTTCAGAGATGTAAAGCAAAAAGATTTTTTTTGATGCAAATTTCGACTTTTATAGCTTTTTTTCTTTTGCCAAATTTCATATCTCGATAAAAAATGTATGAATTGTAAATTAAGTTATGTAACCATTTCTATAAAAGATGTCTACAACGTACAAAATGTGTACATGGTTATGTATCATGGTCCGTTATTCACATTCGATCGTATGAGACCCTTTAGTTGAACGTATGGAATGAGATTGCGATGGGTTACCGGCAATGCATAAACGAAGGTATGTATAAGCATAATTGTTGTATTAAAATACATTATTGAGAGGAACAATATGGCCCGTTGTTCTTTTGATCATGATAAGTCAATGTATGATGTCTTAATGTTAATATCGATCAGCCTTTTCCATAAGATGTAAAATATGTCACTTCTCTCTGGTGGAACACATTTTACATCCTAAGAATTAGTGCAGTTTCAAGATACAACATTCCTGTAAAATTCTATAGTTATAGGACAAACTATATATATATATTTATAAACAGGGGAGGTGACCCCTTCCTCCGTAATTAAAGGCATTGTAATTACGTTGATACTTTATATCATAATATATGATAAACTGTCGCATAGTGCAATAGGTGTAACAGTTATTTCAATTAGGAAGTTTCTAAAATGCTTTGGGTTATAAATTCCGTACTTCTTTCTGGTTATTTGCTCTGTTAAAACATGATAACAAAAATGGCGATGAAGACGTTTCTCATTAACAGTACCTAGAGTGATGAGAAATGCATCAATTTCACGCTAAAAGGGCTTATCACTATAAGTGACAGAATTCGCAATTTACTGTTGAGGTTTTCAATTCATTATTTTTACCGTGTAGGCAGTGGTTTATAAAAAAAACTTGTGTTGATGAATAAATGGTTTGCTTATCAAATTGCTTGCTGCAAGAAGTTAAAATTTGTATTTGTTATGATATTAATGTACAATGGGGAGACCATTGAATTTGCTATATCCCTTGAAATAAATAATACTAGGGATTTACTTATTGACCATCGACTTCTGGTGTCTGACTAAACACCTACCATATATCCTTTTCTACCGTGGAACACTATATATTGCTTATTGATTAGGTATACATTAAATACATACATGAATGAATTGCCGTATGTTCCTAGATGAAATTATTTTCTTGATTGAAAGTTAGCTATACACAGAAAATTAATGAATCTTTAAATACCGTTCGATATTCTAATTCCTTATTGTGTTGATTTATAATAAATATGTAAACTACCGTTCATGCCTCCGTTTGCTGCCGTGAGAATCTCGTCAAGGGTTAAGTTGGTGTACTGTTCCAGACTGTACATGTCATCTGGTGACATGTCTAGTTGTCTGAAAGCAGCTAGTTCCTGGCCTCCTACCACTCCACACAACAGCAAAAACTGAGGATAAACAGCCAGAAGCATGTAAGGACCACAATGCTTTCATGAAGTCATGATCACCTTCACAAATGCAATACCCCTCAACCCGCAATATAGCATCACAACTCGGTGTATCGAAACGGTGATGCAAATTGTAATGAATACGACCTCATTAATCAAACTCATTTTAATTATGTAACTTTCTTTTGATTAAAACTATAAACATGCTATATCGTTAACCTTGATTAATATATTTGAAGAATTTAGATTACCGAACCCATGATCCCCTGCAGTTTCGGAGAAAAACAATACAGACCCCTGCATAAATCTATAAGGAGACTTATTTGAAAAGCCTGCAACAACTGATTTTTCCTTCTCTGCTTTGTAGAGAAAAAAGACCCACAATTATTATTGTTCTTCCTATTTCCCTTTAAAAAAAATAACAACAACAAAACAAAACGTTACGACAGACACCAATCTTCTAAGATTTCTGGACAGTGTTTTCACTCTTAATTATGGCAGAAATCTTAAATTGTATGATTTAAAACAAGGCTTGCTATCGTATGTTGAACTGTTAGCCTAGATTATCAAGGACGGCAGTACATCTGATATATTATATACTTTAATGCGTGATGAACTCAAAAGCGTTGTCGAAATATGTCTGAATTTAACTTTAAATATTATTTTAAAACACAATTTAGATAAGAGCAAGTGCACCAACCCGGTAATTTGTTTTGTGGTCATTATTAATCATATACAAAATGTAAAAGTTAATCCTTAGTATACCGGATGTTCTCACTTATAAACAAATAATAGAGGCACTGTTAATGGTCTGCACTCTGTTCTATAAAGTTGATTTACACGAAGAAAGGAAAGTCACATTTTAAGAAATAAAAAAATTGCAGGAAGATAAACTTCATGTTTTTTTATTCATGGTGATAGGTTTGTTACATAAACTTGAGGACCATTCACTCCATGATGAAAACCTAAGCCTGAAAGGTTAGACCTTGTCTGGCTGTAGCTATATATATATGTCATATAGCTATATATAGTATTAGTTATCTGTATGTGTTA